CAAAGATTATGATTTGGTGTAGAAACCTTGCAGAGCCACACTCTGCAATTGCAGGCACATTTCCAAGTACATGCAAGTAACTTTAAGAACTCCCTAGATTGTGAAGTTGAGAAATGACAGGGTAACACTTCACCAGGTAGGGCATGGCCTTTTAGTCTTTCACCGTCATTTCAGAATGGAGAACACAGCCAGGACTAGAATGTAGCAGACAGACACAGCCCAAGGCAGCTTTGCTACCAGATGAACGCCCAGGAGCACTCTGTCCCCAGAGCCAGACATGCTGGGAAGCATGGAGTCATCTCCCCCCACCCCAAGTGATGCATCTGTTCTCTTCTGAGCTAGAGGAAACCATTGCAGACAGTGCATCACAAGGATCACTTCAGAAAGTGCCTCAGAGCAATTCTAGCTACAGGCTTCATGGCATTGCTAAGAGCAAGATGCAGAAAGAGAGCATGAGGTAGAACTCTGAGAAACTTCTTTATCAATAAGCCATTGACAGCCAGGCAAGTGATTTGGAGACACTGCTTAACTATCCACAACCCCTTCGCGACCCAGATTTTGAATCCAGCATCATTTTTTTTTCCTAAAATCAAGTAATATTTAAGACGTAATACACAGCATGCACCTCTGATCCTATACTGGGAAAACAACTGCCTCCTTCCACAATGTGGATGCAGGCTGTTACATGTCCATCACCACACACTGTAGACAGTACCATTATGTTTATTTGCAAGTTGTACCTACAGAAGGGCATCCTTATCAGACACTGTTCACTCATTACTTTTCTCTGGAGAGGGGAGGCTTGCATTCATTTAGGCAAATCCTTGGTACTCATCTCTAGGAGAATAGCATTCAATCCTTACTTTATTGTTCTATCTGCTATTATTTCACTGTTGTTATGCATAGGTTTGGTAAAAGCCATCAGAATCCCTCATTCTATTGTGTCATGCTGATACTAGAGGATCTTCATATATCTCAATATAAATTGTTCCCAATAAATTGAAAAAAGAGCAGCTGCAATAAGATAGAGACTAAGGATGTCGAAGATTTTTGCGTAGGTATAAAATATAAGCAATCCCCCTCACCTTCTCCCCATATAACACACACACGAGTCTGTTGTCCATAGTGTGCCAGCATACAGAGGAAATAAACTTTGAATTTATCCAATTTTCTTTCTGTTATGAGAAGGCTGAAGACATGACATTGGTCAAGCAAAACCATATCACATATGTCTATGTAACACGTTTGCAACACATCAGCTCTCAGCATAAATTTAGGGGGATTTATAGACATGATCAGTATACAGAAACTTTTGGTAGAAGAACCAGTAGCTAGAGAACCTGGTTAAATGAGATTGTAAGCTAGTGTGTGGGCTGCCTGAAAACTGGCTTGTAAGAGTACCTCCTGTACAGCACAAGAGCCGGGCTGCTGTCAAAAATGCTTTAGAGGTCCACACAAAAAGCAGCAGCGTATTCCCACTAATACATGGCTAGATTTTTATGGAAATACAACATAACTGTGGGGAAGGAGATACTGTTTCATTAATGACATAACCCCTAGTCTGTTAGCTAAGCTGCAATAATAAAATAATGAATATTTTGATGTGCTTTCCTAGAGTCATACACTAATTTCTTTAGACTAAACAGTTAATTCACTACTTGTGTTTAATTAAAGCCTTGGTTTCCTACGTGAAGCCTCCTTGGATTTTTCCATTACATTCCTGAATACCTTTCTATTACTTCGAGCATCTAAGCAGCAGCACTAATTACTTTAATTAAATATAATCAGACATTAATATTGCATAATATCCCTATCCACTAGTTAACTTAAGCGTGCAGTTAGGTCAGTCATCCTTAATTGACCTTCAGTTGAAGCACATGCAAAGTCATTCTGATCACTGGAGTAAGTTTACGATTGCTGAACTTTCTTTTTGTCTAACCATACATAACAGAGCTAGCAACAAGCACATACTGGAGAAGTTCTTAAGCATGAGCTTCCTGGGCATTTAGAAAGAAATCAAAGATTGCAACATGGACTTACATGTCTGGGTGACAAGTCTAACCTTTGCAGTGCAACATCACTATATTGGAGCTCCGCCTTCTTGACTTTCAGGTGATGTGCTGGTGTGACAGGCGTTGCACAGAATGCAGGCTTTCCCTGTCAAAATCAGAAAAAAAACATTACAAAACATCCCCTCGTAGCAGTTATTTTCCAGTGCAGCTTTTCTGGGACAATCCCATTTACATCATAAATTCTTTAAGTAATACGAGCTTGAAGATGATAATGGACTGCCCTGTTTGGCTCACAAACCATTTTATTCTACTTACCATGTCTATTTTGTTTATTTTTAAAAAGCCTGCTAAAGAATTGGTTTTATCAATACCAAGAGTATTCCTGCCTACAAGATTTTTTTTTTAACAATACTATAAGCCATTCAAGCAAGATTTCCCTTTTAATATTTTCCCTCTTGAACCTACAGCTCTACAGTTTCATCATTAATTTATTTTTTTAAATAACAACATAGGGGGATTTATCAAGGGAAATCAGGCTATGTCAATTAACCTAAACTTTTATTTTAGGCCTCTGCATAAAGAAGTGTTTTCTCTCTGACAAAAACTGAAGATCCTGTGGTATTTCTCTTAAGAAAAAGCACAAATAATTAAGTGTGCTCTGTTTTATTTTTAATGGCACTACATTTATTCATTTTTAAAGCATTAGCATACTCAGGGAACTTCTGTAGTCTTGTAAGTCTCCAGTAGAAGTGGGAATTGACTGGTGGGGTAAACAGAGGAGCCAAAGAAATTTTTAAGACCATGCTGCCTGTTCATTTTTCTGACCACACAAAGCTCCTCTTATAATAAAGGCCTTCTGTCTGACCTTTTGGGGGCAGTTGCACACGGGGTTTATTATTCAAATAAAAGATTACCGACATCATTTGATGGGGGCATCCACAATTCTAGCCATTTCTTTGCTCCCAGAGCCATAGAGCATTACACTATCATCCCTCCTTATAGATTTCATGCAGTACATACCAAGAGTGGTTACCCATTTGGGGCTTTGCATGGAAGCTGATTTGATTGTCTATGTCAGGTGTTAAGAAAAGGTATTTCACCAGTGAATTTAAGGTATTAGTAGCACATCTTCACTTCAAAACTTTATACGGGAAACTTTAAGCTTTACTAGCTGTAACATGCCAATTATGGCTGGATCCCTTCAGGGCTGTTAGAGCTCACCTGCACGAGCAGCACCTGTAGATGCATGGCAGGCTAGCCCAAAGAAGCAGCTTCAGCTGAAAATTGAGTTTTCAGATATTTTGTAATAAACATAACATCTGTGGCCAATGGCTTATGAACTGCTGGAATAGGCAGATACTCAACAACTGCAGAATACTTTCCATCACTTCTCTGTAGACACTCATGCTGAAGTTTTGCTGTGCAAGCAATAGCCTAAGGAGAACCCTAAAGTTTACCTACTCTTGTAGAAAAGTTACATGAAGCTATATATTAACCCAGCCAAGGTTTTACACCTAAGTACACTCAAACTTCGAAGGCAGAAAGAACTGGGTTGTTCTATAAAACGCAAAAGTAAAACACTCACCAAGATCAGCCATTTTCCTGAGGCTACACTACTCAGAAGATATTTTCCACCCGTCTCCCCTCCAAGGAATATCTTCCCAGTGGGTTAAGTCTACTACAAATGGCTGTTCTACATGGCTCCCACTAGAGTAGCCAAAAACTGCAAGCAGAAGCAAGCATTCACAGCAAAATCCTGCAGACAACCAGCTATGGCAACCAAAAAGCTTTTTATAAGCAGCTGATGGGTTGTTTTCAGCTCCACCCTCTGGGCAAAACACCTGTGCTCCTGCCCCGAGAACGCAGCCTCTTTCCCCCAGCCTAGGTTTGCAGACTTTGTCATGCAGTTTGTAGATTAGAAGAATGCTTTGAGGCTCAAAGGTCACGAAAATTTTAACAAAATGTAAAAAGAAAAAATAAAGCCAAAAAAGGCATCAATATTCATGCCTGTGAAATTTCCACCTGCTACAGAAAACTACAGAATAATTCTGATAAAGGCAAAGTTGCCTGATACACTTTAGACAGGGACAAAGTGTGCAGACGCAAATTTAGATGTGTCCTTTGTGTATCTTATTAGTTGCTCTTCACTCGTTTGGTCAGAAATTTTTGCAGCATCCAAAGAGAAGTTCAGGTTAATCTTGTCTATAAATTGCAGATTAGATGCAATATGAACCTTCAGCCTGCAGTCACCTGCTGAGCAGCAGTGTATCGTTACATCACATTTTTCTTCTTTTTCCAATTAGGGGCACAGAATCTTTGAAAGTAACTCAGCTTGTCAAAAATCGGGCGTTCCTCCATGTTCCAAGCCATTGCACATACAGGAAGGAACTATCCTTCTTCACTGTCAGAGTGTGTCTTTTCCAACAAGATTTTTTTTTAGATCAAAACTTTGTCTAAAGAAAGGTTTGGGTGAATGGAGCAGAAATTAGCAGAACCTGCCTAGAGAGCAGGCCTGATCTCTGTGATCACAATGTGTGAGCTTCTCTTATAATAATGCTGGGTTTTTTTAATAGGAACACTTTAAAAAAGTTGAGTAGAATGGAACAGTTTCAGTCCAAGGCCACATTGTATGTATGCAAAATCAGCATAAGGACTAATGAGTCACATTCCCGTTGCTCAAGAGATACTCTATAATACTAACAGCAAAGGAGCTCCTTGTAATCGAGTCTGGGATTGTATCTAGGCACCTTCAAAAGAGGGGAAAAAACCCCAAACCTTCTTTCCCAATACAAAACTATATGAAACAATATGTTTTGGTCTCTGTGTATGAAGTTTTAAATTTCAAAGGCTACATGAATTTGCGTTTTCAGTTTCAGTGTATGTATGTAGACAATCTGACAAGTTTAATGATCTGGCGATCTGCCCTGCATGTATTTCTCTAGTCTTTCCAGACTTTTCTTAAACTTGCACTTTTTTTATATTTTGCAGTTCCCTCCTTTTGGGGTTTGGTGAACTCAGCTTGGAATCTTTGCTCTGTTGGGAAAAGACAGTCACCTGTCAATATTGAAACCAGCCATATGATTTTTGATCCCTTCTTAACTCCACTTCGCATAAACACAGGGGGAAGAAAGGTATGTGTTCTATCGTGTTCTGGTATAAAAATGAGAAGTTGGTAGACTTACAAATATTTGCTATATTTTAGATTTCTAAAGCATTTACACTTTTATCTCTGTCAGCTCTGAGGCAGAATAACAACAACATAGTGCTTTGCAAATCACACGTTTCATCACTGCTGGAGAGAGAAGCAACCATACATCTTTAGGTGTCGTCTAGCACGTATTTCTATTTTCATATTAACTGTTACTTGAAACTCTGCTGTCTGGAAGAACAGTATCTCACTTGGAAACTCCACCTTTATAATTAAATTTGGGGTTCATCCTGAGTGGCATTTTAAAGGTGCTATTCTAAAAGTGTTGTTTAAGATGCCCAGGACCTTCTTTTATTCATCTAGATAAGGGTAGGAAGGGATGAATGAGCTGCTTTATGTTACGAAAGAAAAGGAACTACGCGATACATATCTCAGCATGGGACAGGCAGACAGATGTGTTCAAAAAGTGATCTAGTTTCTGTGCTATCCACAGTATATTGGCACTCATAAGATTTTTGTTTATCGGACATCTCACGTATATTAATTAGAAAACAACATGGCAACATTTATTTTAATAGATTATGAGTAAATCTCCAGGAATATTGGATCAGATGGAAATGATAAGCTAGCAAAGACTGTCATACAAAATCAGCATGATGATTTCTTGTTGAGAAGTGACTGCCACAGCTGAGTGGTTTATTAATGTCTGTTTCTGACCAAACCTGATCTTGTTTACCCAGATTTGGAAAGTATATCTTAATAAACTGAGGTACAAAACCAGAGTCATTCTGGGTTAGATCATGTGTATACCTGTGGCTCGGCCACCTAGACTTCTAGGCTGGTCCATGTAGATTAAGGTGGAGGCAGGAAACAATCTTGACAAAATGGTGTTCTGCAAGTGGGTGGAGATTGTTGTCTGAGGTATGTGTACATACAGAAATACTGCTGATAGATGCTAATCAGTGATCATATCCTCCCTTCTTTATAATGTATCTAAGTTATGTTAGGACCTAAAATTTGCACAAGGTTTTTATCGTCGTAAAAACCTTAAGTTCAGTAAAAGTTTCTACAAGTTTTTGCAACTCAGATGTTGAAGCGTTGTGCTGATGCATGTATATAAGTCAAAATAATTCACAAGAAATAATTTATGACTGTGAATTTGAAAAACATTCAAGCATGTGCATTTGTGCTTGCTAACCCAGTGCTCAGAAGCAGAATTGAAACTGTTATATGTCAGTGAAAAAATGAAGAAGATTAACAAATCTAAACAGTGAAAGCAGATTTGGATCCCAAGCATGTTTCACTTTAAATAATCTCATGCTCATGTCGATAGCATAGTTAGGGACATTTTACATACATGGTTCTTAAAATTATTTTCTGCTAATTTGTTCTTTCAATTTATGTTTAATAAAATAAATATACTTAGTAAAAATTAGAAGTACAAATAAATGTTAGAGTATAGGGCCAAAAAAAATTTTTGAGACCTACTTCCTTCCTAAATTGCCATTCAAAGCATTTCAGAAAACAAACTGATCCTAATGATTATGCCTAACAATTTTTCTTTTGGTAAAGAATGTATTCACAGTATGGAAGTTTGAGGACAATCCTCCAATGACTAAGTTATCAATTCTGTTTATTCAACTGGAGGGTTGATATTTTTTTAATTCTCAAATTATTTTATAAATAAAACATCTTGAACCTGTTGCATTCTTCAAAATAGCCATTAGTTCAAAACGGGTTTGTGTTGCTTAGCTTATGTGGGGCTGCTTAAAAGGGTATTTTAAAGATTTTGTTGCTTATTCCATGCAGGCCGTTCTCTCTCCCTCAATCTGTAATACAGAACAATGCAGATGAAAAGGCATTGTGACTTACAATATCAGAACAAGCAGAGCCTCTAACAAAAGGTTATTCCAAAATGATTTATCTTCTCCTGTTGTCTTGACAAATGAGATTTCTGCTGGAAACAGCACGAGATGTTAGGAATTTGCTCAGTACTTCCCATTGAGGTTCTGGTGGTAGATGTGAACGTACATCAGAATCGATGTAAGCTTGATCACAGAACTGATAAAACAGGGCTATCGTTACTTAGTGATGGACAGCAATGCTCCCAAATTTCAGAGTGATCTGTACATTTTGCTATTTAAACAGAAATGTGTTGAGGTTTTTCATTTTGATAAGAAAAAGAATTTTATTGATTCTGCTATTTATGTAAAGGCTGACATGTTTCAGATTATTTATACATTACAGTATGAGATAATATGAAAGTCAAGAACAGAATATTTAATATCTTTAGCAGTTCTGAGAACTCAACTGGTTTTTTGTACCAGCTCAGGATGAAGGAAATTTCTGATTATTAATAAAATAGTGGAGGTACCGATGGCCTGGGAGGTGCTCTAGCAGTAATGAGGTTTTCTTACCACACTCACAAATATTATCCTGCTGCTGTCAAACCGTGCTGGCCTTCTGTCATGTTACAACAGGATTTGTTCTAGTTGTGCTTAGTCTGTTTTAAAGAGGTTTCTAAAATGACTGAATCAAAATTCTCCTTTGAGAAAAAGATTGCAATTTTAATGCCTTAAAAAAAAAAAAACACCTTTGCTCATGGTTAAGGCTTCAGTGAGGGTTGATTTGGCAGATAGTTTATTTGTGTTCACTTTTTTGGTAATGTTTTTTATATGTTAAAAATGGAAGTGTGTTTCATATGGGCTGAAGCACTTTAGTTTTCAGGGCAATGAACCAATTTATATAGCAGCCAGGGAATTTCTTCGAGAACACTTAACTGTGATTATGCTGTACACGAAAGGATTTCATGGAACTGATCCTAAGAAAAATGATGAATAAATAAAAAAGGGATTTGATACGGTTTCAAATCAAAGTTATAATAAGCTAGCTTACATGCATAGTGAACAAGAGAGACAGCTGGTTACACACAGAGAGAAAATTATACACCTCTTGTAAAGGGAGCTGGGAGGAGAGTCAAGCCTTAACAGAGAGCTAGATGGAAGGAAACATTCACTACAGTCAGTCTTGGAACAGTAACTTCAAATTTTTAACAAAATTTTTTGCTATTAAAGTAGAAATCAGTTTTATTTGAGTTTTAATTTTGAAAATAACATTTCTACTTTGTGTGCTTCACTTCTCAAATTAACTTAAGAAGAAACAGAAGAGGTTCATCCACAGGAACAGAATCCAAGACCAGTCTAGAGAAATTCAGATAACACATACCTGGGTGATACAGTCACTGACTTAATACCTTCTCTTAACTCTTCCATTCCTTACCACTCCTTTCTCTTGGGCCTTTCTTTTTGGGAGTGGGGAGCATTGCTTAATTTCTGTAAACCTGTTGCCTGTTTAGTTCTCAGTTGCCACATCAGCAGACCAAAACTGTTCCAAACCATTCCACTACAGAATTTATGACTAAGGATTCCACCTTAAGTACACACCTTTCTAGGCAATATCACTAGAGAGTTTATTTTTATTTCCATATTAGTAATGGAAGGCATTTTAGTAAACTAGATTGAGACTTTCCTACACTTACTTAGACCACTTGGGAATAAAAATTTAATTTTCTTGTTCTTAAAGAAAAGGAATGTTCTGAAAGGAGAGTATGAAGGACAACATCACTGTCTTTCTACCCTGCAGCCTACAAGGGGAGAAAAGTACAGTCTGTGGCCTGTTACATGGCAGGTGACTTAATAGTTACTTCTGACCTGAGGCTGAGAAGAAACTTCTTCCCATTCCATTCAGGAGCAAAAGGGATGGCAATGCAATTTGCCAAATATTTATACCTCTTTGATCCAATTTTTCACAATAAAGTTCCACTGAGCAGCAATATGTTGCTTTATGTGCTAGCCAATGATTGCAGCACAGTATCAGATCATGAGATTTACAATTCAAGCAGTGTCAGATATTATTCTGAATTGTGTTTTGTTATTTTTTATGTTTGTGCTTCTCTGTTTCCCGAGAAAGTGGCTTTTCAGGTCCTGAAGGCTGAATATTATTGATACACGTAATTGGATTTCAAGATCCAGAATCTCAGCACAAGGTATTTAATGAGTTTACATGCAGATAAATTTCCCCAAAGAAATGCTGCTTTTGAGGAAACTCCCCAAGTTTCAGTTCTCTCTCAGGCCCCGCTTTGTCTCTTGATTATCCATTTTAGTGAATTTAACATGCACCCGTTTCAGATAAACAGTCCTTTTTAATAAACAATACAAAATCTTATTAATATGTAAATCACAGTCCGCCACTCTGTCACAAAGAAAAACACCATTTTTCTTTCTCTGCTTTTTTCCTTTGGATTCATATAAGCACCAAGGCAATCAGCAACAGGACGACAGAGTAACTTTACTGATGAGCCAGTGTAGTCTAGCAACATTTAGGCAGCACGCACTATGGGTTTCAGTCTCCAAAGCAGGGGTTTCCAGACTGTCACAGGTGAGAGTAGTGGATGGACAAACCACCTCACTTCCCACTGAGCCTCTGCTGGGATTTCTTTCTCCGTTCACCAGGGCTGGCAGTCTCTCTTCTCCAAGAGCTCTGCCTTTGATCCCCCAAAATTTGTCCCCTGACTTACCTGTAGCCCATCTGCCTTTGATCTCCTCATTCTCTGTGGACTTCATTTTAAGAGCCCTATTTCCAAGATTCTCTAAGACTGAACTACAGTTCTTGGTGAGGCTTTCTTTTTCTCCCAAAAACATGATGAGTAACAGCATTTGCTTTAGACACTAAGTGAATCCCTGCCAATTAATTAAATTTTGTCATGTAAGTGATGCCATGTGTTACTAATCATATTTTAGGTCATGCTCAAGGACTTAGATTGTTTAGGTTTAAAGCTGGTAAAGTTCTGTTTAAAATCACTTTATTTTTAAGACAACAAAGGCCATTGTACCTGATGTTGACCTCTGGGGAAATAAAGAAATCGATGTCTGCTGGCCAAGGACTGTTATATACATTCTCTAGCTCAGTGTGCGTAAATGAAAG